CAATGTTTTAAAACATGATTTAAAACAATTCAAAAATCATTAAAAATCATTAAAAAACGTTTTTTTGCCATCCCTATCCATAAGGCGATTCTAACAAATCCAAAATCGTTAAAGATCCGTGTCACTTCGATAAAGTTTAATAGGCTAACCGGTTTTACCGAAGTGACACGGATCTTTACCGATTTGGGTCCTGTGATTGAATTTTAGCGGTTTCGGGTTCGTTAGAATCTCTTATCAATGCGATCATTTTGTTGATCATTCAAAACTGGCTAGTTAATTAAAAGGTACTGAATTCTCTGTTAAAGATTGGACATGTTTTTAATAATAATTTCGTAAAATTTAGCCTATATGTTTATCCTAAATAGAGATTATTTTCATTTGCTAACTATAGTGTAGTTATCGGTTGTTCTAAAACAGTCTCTCCGAAATTTCTTTTAAACGCCTAATTAAAGAAATATTTATAAAATTTCCAAATTAAATCCCGTCGATTTCTTAGATCACTTTATTTCCCTGCGGTGAAACGACCATCTATTGTAAATTCTTTACATAATTCGCCTAATTTGAAGTTGGACATTACGGGATAATATTTGATGATATAAATCTTTGAATTTCGGGACGTTTCAGCATTAAACTCTTTTTTGAGTGCTTAAAAAATGGTAAGCTCTTAGTCAAAAATCAAATATGTAGACATTTCATTCATTAAATAAATTACTTACAGAGCAATTATTATATAGTCTACAAAAAATCATACGTATTCGCCTCCTTCGAATGTGTTATGCCTTCCGCGAACAACGCAACTCGAAGCTTTGTTGACTTTAATCCGGGATAAAGAAACTAATCGTGGAGACTTTATTTTTTATTCTGATAGAGTAATTAGGCTCCTTGTTGAAGAAGGTTTAGACTTAATACTTTATATTTTAAGTTTGTTTTACTATTTCTAAAATATATTTTTTTGGCAAATAGGGTTAAACCATTTACCGGTAGTCGAAAAGAAAATTATTACACCAACAGGTATATCAATATTGTAATTTTTTTGAATTCAATTATTCGTGGTTTAAAATATAATATAATTTAATTATCAAATTAGGATCTGATTTCAATGGCGTTGCGTTCAAGGGTAAAATATGTGGCGTGTCTATTATGAGAGCTGGAGAATCAATGGAACAAGGGCTACGCGAATGTTGCAGGTTTGTTTAATTTGTATTAATAAGAAATAAAATCAATTATCCAACAAAAAAAATTATTGACTTTTTGTATGATATGAATGATTAGGAGCGTACGAATTGGAAAGATTTTGATTCAGCGTGATGAAGAAACCGCGCAACCTAAGGTGATAAACGATTCTTTTTTTTTAATTATATATCAAATAATAACATTATATATATTGTATTTTTTAATTATATATCAAATAATAACATTAAATATATTGTATTTTTAATTATGTATCAAATAATAACATTAAATATATTGTATTTTTTATATTAGCTTTATTATGCAAAATTACCTCCAGGTATAGAAGACAGATTAGAATGAACTAGATTAAATGATAAAAATAATATCAAATCACATAGAGTATACCAAATTTACCCTTTCCAA